TGTTTCTTGTTATTTAAGTTGAGAAGAATGTTATATATTCATTGACTTTTTCTGTCTTATTGTGATTTTCCAATGGCCATTTAAAGGTATGAAATTAGTCTCTTGAGGAGATCGCATGCCTCAAAAATTATTTCCATTTTTGTCATTTTGAGCCATGCCTAGTGGTCATCTTCTCTCTCTTCAGGGGTTCACATGTGTCAACACTTGAATGAAGGTAAACAAAATGTACAGATAAAATAGTTATAAACTATTAAATAAACACTATAAAGCGTATTATATATAACTTATTTGAATTCAGCTTCTGATGTAAAATGATGGTTTTACCTTTAATTTGGCTTTTTTCAATATTAAGACTTTCCTAACTAGAATCATCAAGATCATATAAATAGATAATTCTATTATTATAAACCTTATCAAATTATTCTTCCATACATTCTATAATAAATAAAAAAAATTAAGCTCCTGAAGCAATCATGCACAAAAATATCTATTTGATATAATGTTTTGCAAAAGTACATCTAAACAATATCTTTCTTAAGCATGTTTGAAGAATTGGAGTCTCAACTAGTTGAAGTTAAGGTTTGAGATACTGTATGCCTTGTCCTTATTATATTATTTTGGGTTTTGATTATTTATTTGTGCACGTTGATGACAATAGTGGCACTTGTCTTTTGACCAAAACAATTGATACCTTATGACTATACTAAATACTTTTCACAATAAGTAGCTAAATAATTGAAGTAAAAGTAGGAAGGAGATCTTGGCAAGTTTTTTCACACAAAATTTCTGTTGTGTAGTTTAAATAAACGATGGAGCTAAATAATATAGAAGATGAATACAAAATGCCTCATGATAAAAATTATACTAGATACTTCTCTTAATGAAGAAAGTGAGATATTGAAATATCTATTTAGCTATATGAACCAAAAAAATGATACATTTATAGAAAGTCAACTGAATTAGAAATCAAAATAAGTATTCTCCTATTTGTATTGTCTTATTCATAATATTATTTAACTTCATTCTTTTTAAGATAATCATATTTAGTCTTAAAAAATCCATGGCCTCTAGAATAAAACTTTTTAATGACAATTACCAATGGTTGTGCTTATCTTTGTCCATCTTAACTAGTATAACTTGTGTAGATTCCAATGTTATTAGAAGAATGAAAATTTCACTTTAAGAAGCCTACATTTTCAACATTGAAACTAGGAAGACTCCAAAAGCCAACATGAAGCTTTCCTTTCATGTTATGGAGTACTACAGAAAGTAACAACAGTAACAATAAAGGGAGAAGTTAAAACTTTAACATTATCAAATGAAAGAGCACATAAAAGGTAAGACTGTGGCATGATTGTAGCTTTAGTAGACATTAACAAATTGAAGCCAAAGATCATGTTAGGACTAGCATTTTGATGTTCATAAATAAATTAAACATATATTTATAATGAAATATTGCACTATTTTTTTTAGACTACACTAATCAACAAATCAAGATTAATACTCTAGATCTAGTTTTGTTGGCTGTTAATACGGTTTTTCTTGCCTTAAATGAAGAAATCAGGCATTAAGAAACATATCGATATCAAACCAAGTCAAAACAGATCAAAAGAAACTAATTTAGAAGAAACATAAGAAGTTAATAGAAAATGTATCAACGCATGTCTTGACATACTAAATCAGTGTCTCAATTTACTTGAAGAAAGATAAGAATCTCAACCTAGTAAAGTTAGTGTGTCAACCCATAATTATTCAAATAAGAGATAATGATGACACTTCTACTAAGGAAAATTGACTAGGCAAATGGTAGATATGATTGTGCAAGCAGCACACCAAGAATTAGTTGTAAGCCACATGTGGCAGCTATTCAACCAAAGACCAGCAATGAAAGCATCCAATGAAGAATGACATGTGCCATCATCTGATGCACAACAACATGTGGCAGAATATAGGCAGAAAAATGACATGTGATGATATGCAAGACATTTAGCAACCCATGGGACATGTGCAAAAGTATGAATGCTCGAGCAACACAAACTAGAATGGCTCAAGGTGACATGGGGTACAAGATGAAAGAATTAGCACATTTGACACATGACAAGATCTCTAATAGCATAGTTGATCTCCTTTAAAGAAGGAGATAAGTGTGACACTGTATCTCTAACATGGACAGCATGACTAACAAATCAACCAAATGTGGTAGGTGAATCTAACACAACAACATATTGTAACTCATATGAAGATCAACAAAATGTCAGATTTTTTGAGCAATGAAGTTTTTTGATTCAAAGTTCTGAGGCCGCTATATGTTATTTCAACATCTTATCATATGTGAAGGCATCTTGAGAGTACTTGTGACGTAGATAGATAAGCAATCTAGTTCATTGATGTCTAAATCTACCATCTAAAGGAGATTACATATCTCATAAAGTTCAATTATAATTTTCAATGAGAAAATAGTAAAAACGATGGGCAAGGACCCCTGATAGCAAGGTAAAAGAAAGTTAAAATATTATAAATGTTTATATTCTGGATGTTTTAAAGCTTTATGTGTTGACTTAGGGTGTCTACCCATGAATATTATGTTGACTCATTATATTGTCCCAAGTGAGACATTATTAACCCATGGAGTTATGTGCTTACTCATTATAATTTTAATTTGCAAAAATAACTTTAAAAATAATAAATATACTAAGTAATTAATTCACCCCATCTATTGATATATTTTCTAACCTCTTATTAGGCAACCAATAGATTATACACCTTTAATGCCAAATGATGATGGACACTTCATGGATGATTAATAAGTAGGATAAGTTACAATCACAAGAATGAATCAAAATATTTCTGAACTTTATTAATATATGATCTTACAAGATTGATACAAGTAGAATAATAAATTATTATTTAAAATAATATTTAACAACTTAATGTAATGAGGGTCAACTAACACTCTTGAGACCAAGTTGTATCTTGAAATACATGATTGAAACTTTCATTTATATTATTTTTCCTTACGTGGTGTGATATTTCTACCTAAGTTTAGAATTGAGTGTCCAAAGAACTTTTTAGGTGTTCTAATAAAATTGTTGTGAAAGACATGATGATATTGGTTTGGAATTGGGATCTTATTAAAAATGTTCTACATTTCATTACAAAGTAGTTGGAAACTTAATAGTTCAAAAATCAATTACCCAAACCTATGACTATTGTTATGTGTCAATCATTATTTGCACTTTTATCTAATTATGGTGAGGTCTCATATGCTTAAGAAAATCAGAAGCCTGGCTTGAATCAAACTACTACCTCAAATTGTAGATTTATGATAGCTTGATTTGAGAATCCTTTGAGAATTGCTAGGTGAGGAAGGTAGTTTTGTCACTTAGCAAATAATGCCTTTAATTATTATGCAATATTTAGTTATAAGGATATTGACATCTTTATTTTCGGTTTTTTTAAATTTCATGAAATTACCATATTTAGAGGGTGAGAAATCTCTCATGAATTGAGAAATTTTTCATTGATTTTTTTAGTAGGTCAGTGTTGTGACAATCGAATTAGAATGGACTACTCTTAAGAGATCTAGGAGGTTTGTGTGCGTGTGTGTGTGTGTGTGTGTGTGTGTGTGTGTGTGTGCGTGTGTGTGTGTGAGTGAGTGAGTGAGTGAGTGAGAGAGAGAGAGAGAGAGAGAGAGAGAGAGAGAGACTATGCTGTCATAAAGCACAATCCAGATATGTATTATTTCTTAATTTAATAAAATATATATTTTTTGATGAAATAATTTTTTTTATAGCATATATGTATAATATATTAATTTTATAAATGTATTTCAAGCTAGTTAGTGGATAACTAAAATTAAATAGTATATTGAATATTCTCAAATATGGTTTAATTTAATAAAAATATTTCACCACGTCGAAAAAACTCATTTTTTCACCCAATTAATATAGAATTCTGTGTTAAGATTTTAAGATAGTTCCTTGATCCCTTAGGAATCCTAAACCCAATGGCAAAGGCTCCAATCTTCTTTTTCCTTGTCGGGTCTGGGTCCCGGTACGGAATTTCCCCCGCATTCGGACATGCACCATCGGTTCAGTGGTTTTCCGAGGCGGTTTCTTGTGTCTTCTGCGGTTTTGGTGAAACCAGAGAAGGGGTAAGCGGGAGGAAGGGCAGGAGAAGCTTCCGTGTTAATGAATGAGTTTTCCACGTAAGAGTCGCACTCGCTGTGTCCAACACTTCGCACCAAGACCCGGAAGACCCCATCTTTGTCTTCTCCCAACCTCTCGCTGGCCGACTTCTCTGCTCCGAGTTCCTAGCATTTCCGCGTCCTTTCTTCGCCTGTCTTTCCGCGTCCTTTCTTTGTCTGCCTTTCCATGCTTTCTGATTCCCGGAAGCTGTCCGGATATATAGAATAAAAAAGCAGCCGCCGGCAATAGGGAGGAAATGGTGTCATTTTGACTCCCTAGTCTCCACGGAAGAAGCTTGGCTTCTGAGGACTTCCGTCTCTTCTGGGCCGTCTGTGGATCTCCGGTGATACCCTCTTCTGAGAACCGAGTGGGGCCTAGAGTTGGGTTTTCTTTGTTAAGCATTTCTACGTATTCGGTAAGTTAAGGTGGTTTTTTTCCCCCTTAGTCCTCCTCCTCCTCCTCCTCCTCCTCCTTGTTGAATTGCAGATTTTGTAGATTCCTTATGTTTTTCCCAAAGCATGATTCTTGTACGATTATCTTTTTCATTAATTAATGGGATCCGAATCAAGTTTTTGGCATTTAGCTGGTACTCTTGTTAAATTCAGTGTCATTATCCCTTGACCGATTTAAATTAAAGTACTTTTTCCCGGATCTATTTTTTCATTTTTTCTCTTTTATTTCCATATTCGGGTATTTGATGTTTATATATGCAATTTTAACCTTCAAGCCTTTTAAAAAAAATCTTCCTACTATTTTTTTCAGGTTGAGGAGGTTTAACTTGAGAGATTATCTCTTCTGATGGTGAGATGTCTCATGGTTTATTATGCCGTTTCTTTCTTCCTGATGCGCTTCCGGATCAATGGAATGCTATTTAATAGTATTATAAAATAAAATGTGGGTCTGGAGTGTTTACTCATGAAATAGGCCTATGATCAGGGGGAAGAAGCTCATGCTTCCGTTCTCGACTGCTTGGGTGAAGACCAGCTCGTTGAGCTCGATTCAGGATCAAATTGCCATCAGACAGTCACCTTTGCTGGAGAGAAGATTGTGGGTCCAAAACCAAGACAGCTGAGTTGAATATTCATCTTGGAGCAGCTGTGCATTCATTTATTGATGGCATCGCTTTCTTTGTGCAGTTTGTAATCGGTGAATTCAAAGATGACATTCTCCAGTCGTGTGGTGTTAGAATATTTGACAAGTCAACGGGCAAGTGGTGAGCTATATTTCCCTCTCTGGCTTGTAACATTTGAACTGTTTCAGGTGCCTGAATTAGAACCCATCTTTTGATATCGACAGGACAATCCCCACCGTGCTCGGCTCTAAACCCGTTTCCATTAAAGCCCATTCCGCCATTCTTCTTGGCAAAGACCGCATTTTAGTTGTGAAGCAGAATTTATCATTGGATGGCTGTGCCTGGTTTCTTGAGGTTTGAACCTTTCAAAGGCCCTTTTTCCCTTGGTTTTTTTCAATATGATTCTCATTCGGCTCTTGGGCAAAAATTAATTTCGGCATCATCCTATCTTATAACCATCAGTCCACAATGTCTGCGAGTTGCCTCATCATATGGTAAGATGGTTCTTCAAAGCTAGAAACCCAGACAAAATCTCCACCAGGAACTGATTGCTGTCTCTGAATTGAGTTAAAGGGACCCCTTTGCATTGATGGTGCACATGTTACAGCCTGCTTAGTATCTTAAACCCTAATGTACTTTTCTTTGTGCTATGTTTCAGATCCTAATTTCTTCTCCATTCTTATCTTTTCTCATCCCTTCGCTTTGAAAGATCGACACGCCATTCATCAGAGAACAGAGAAGTATACTTGGTACCGAAGTGGTCGCATGGATCAAAGGTGTGATTGAAGATGACAGCCCAGTGCCAATAGTTATCAGCGGCCCCTCTGGCGTCGGGAAGGGAACCCTGATAATGAAGCTCATGAAAGAGTTCCCTTCTACCTTTGGGTTTTCCGTGAGTCACACCACCCGACTTCCCAGAGAAAAGGAGAAGGATGGAGTCCATTACCACTTCGCCCAGAGGAGTATCATGGAAAAGGATATCCGTGATGGAAAGTTCCTGGAATACGCATCAGTACACGGGAATCTGTATGGAACAAGCTTTGAAGCAGTCGAGGCAGTAGCCGATCAGGGGAAGGTGAGCAACCAAAAGTTATTATTTGTATGGAAATCCGTGGAATTTCACATATTAGAAATCTACAGATGGGTCTACTCGTTCATTCTCTATTGGTTTTGATTTGTATGGCCCGATACCTTTAAGATAATATCATACATTATATTATCTCTATTTTCTATCACTGTTATATCATTTACATAGATTAAAAGTACCATAATTCTCATTGAAAGTAAATGTTTAACAGATAGAGCATTGTCTCTATTACTAGGTATATGATCGACCTTTCTCATCATCTTTGTGAATCTCTCAAACCAAGTTCTTGGTGATTGTTTGAGCTCATATATGCTCGTCTTTAATTAATACATTATATCACTTAAAGGTAGTTTCATATCCTTGATGAACAAATCTCATATCCTCATTAAGTAGTCACTATAAAGATGTATATTTTATGTTGAATTGTTGTATGTATCCTAATCATAATTAACAACTAAAAAAGTAAAATTATAACAATATCTATCCTTTCTAGCCCGAACCTGTCATGCCTGACAAGTGGGCTTGGAGTAATTGAGTTTGATGGCTCAATAATTCATACTTGTACTTAATTTCCGTGATTAACACAAGTTTTTTTTTGTTTCTGTTGCAGAGATGCATCCTTGATATTGATGTCCAAGGGGCTCGATCAGTTCGGGCTAGCCCGCTCAAAGCTCTGTTTATATTCATCTGCCCACCATCTTTCGAGGAACTTGAGAACCGCCTTCGATCTCGGTAATCGGATTCTTGATGCTCTGCTCCCTCCCTCCCTCCCTCATCATTTCCTCTTCTAGCAAAATTCAGAACTGAGTGTTATGATGATGCAATCTTCATGCAGAGGAACGGAGACCGAGGAACAGGTGCAGAGGCGGCTGAGTAATGCATGGGCGGAGCTCGAGCAGGGGAAGTCTTCCAACCTCTTCGACCATGTACTGGTCAACGACGAGCTCGAAGCCTGCTACAGAAAGCTAAAGGTGTGCATCATGTCTCGGCAACAGCCTCTTCTTGTCTCATCCAAAGCTTGATATTTCCAAACTTTATGATTCTTGGGCCAGCCCGGTTTCCTCTTAACGCCATTCTTTCGATCAATGCAGAAAATCCTTGCTCTCCATGGGTCCACAGAGCCAGCTTACCCACCTTGTAAGCGCAGTCTGCGGGGATCTCCCTCATCATCCTGCATCTCTTTCTGATACCATTCATTTCCATCTTACTAATCAAACATAGTACCATCCAGCTCCCAAGAGTGGTAAACTGCCCGTGTGTCGGTCGATCTCAAGATCCGACGAGAAGATCCTGATACACGGTAAAACTGCAGAAGCAGGCACGAGACCTAGCGTCACGTAAGCACAAACTACTCTTCTCCTTCAGATCGCCATTTCGTCTTGGTTTCTATGCAAATAATCAGATATACCCACCCATTTGATATTTTGCTATGTTTTCGTCCAAATAGATGCACAGTCGAAGCATCCTTGCTCAGTGGTGGCGCCCCCGGAAGAACAAAAGGGCTCAAGCTTCATGAGACTTCTTCTGACTCACCAGGCAATGGCTTGAATGGGATCAGGCTTCTCTAACATCCCCCTGTCTTTCGGTGATTCATCCCCTCTCTCCCCTGCTAGAAGCCCACCCGACTGCAGATTTCATTCGACCAGAGGGAACACATTGGTTCCATCATCTCAAAGGAATGGCTCTTCTGCCTTGCTCTGGCTCTCTGTTCTGATCTGGGAGTTCTCCCCGGTTTTGTCCCAGCTGCTTGTTTTTCTTCATTCGATGCCAAGAATTTGCCATTTTAGTGACTTATGCCGCTGTAATTCTTGGGAACATGTGGACCAGGTAGCTGATGAGAGAGAAGCCATGGGGGGCAGCTGGGTTCAAGAGATTAGGACCATATCCAATCAGATTTGCCCAGCTGGCATTTAGACCTCTGATTCTGGTAAAAAAAAGTTAGTTCTTGGTCAGTCTTCTGGTCTATAACTGGGTGGTCTCCTCCTGTCAATCTGGCTTGGTGGTCCCCACATGTCGGTCAATTACCGTTGGAGCTACCCATAGTCTGAAAACTGGGCCGGGCCGGATTTTCATTCCGGGTGATTACTGGGCCTATGTCAGCAGAAGCTCGGCCCAAAGCCCGGGAATCTGACGTGGCGCCTTGACGGGCTCTTATCCAGATCAGTCTGTTTCGAAAGAGCTTTCTTGATGAGACAGTCTTTGTGCTTTTCTGGAAAAGATCAACATAAAGCCTAAGGCCGGCCCATTCTTTCATATTTAGACAGAGGGAAGACAGAGAGAGATGAACATAATTGTGAGGCGGCCGAGTGGCAAAGGAAAATGGGCCCAGATTCCTGGATGGGCCAGATCAGAGATGGGCCCGGGCTAAACCGGGCCTCATCTCTCATGGCTTTTAGACCCCGCAACTCGCAGGAAAGGGGATTTTTTTTAATTTCTTTCATGTTAAGAAACCGAAAATAGATGCGTTCAGATAAATAATGCGTCCACATTCGATGAACCTACTTGCTGCTAGGCTCCCCTAACTAGGTGGTGATAATCCCACCCCAATCTGGTCAACTCCGGGAAGCCTCCTACTGAGACAGTACGATGGTACATAAGGTCATAAAATCTCCGATGGCATGTTGTGGTGGCCCAGATGATGCCCTGAATCGACAGTTGACACAAGTGGGAGAGAAGAACAGGACCTCACTGTCATATAAAATAAACAGAGCGGGGCCCATGTGGGGTGGAAATATCTCCCTCGATTCGTCCACATCCCGCGCCCCGCCGCCACACGCGTAGATATCTTGGCGGCAGCCTGCCACCTGCGGGGATTCTTCTTCTTCTTCTTCTTCTTCGACTACTGGTGCCTAGGGCCTGAGGATTCGGAGGCTCTAGTGCTCTGGCTCTGACGATGGCGGAGACGATCGGAGCTGCGAGTTCTCTGTCGTTGGGAGAGCGGATGGTCCGCATGCAGGGCTACCAGGGACTGAGGTCGGTCGGATTTGCCGCCATGCCGAGGCCTGTCCGTGCGTTGCCCTCGCCGTGCTCCAGCAGCTCGTCCGTCGTCACCGCTGTGTCCACTGTGAGTGTCTTCTCGTTTTTTGTGTTGGATTCGTTGGTTGTTCTTGCTCCGCTAATGATGGCTGGTGATACTCTGTGGACGAGATGAGTATTGACGCCTAGACTTTTGGTAATGAGAGGTTTAGTAATCCGATGTATGGTATTCTAGAATGGGAGATGGCGGATTTTGACAGAAATACTAAGAGTAGACCAAAACATTATCCGAGTAGTTGCTCTCAATACGACTACACACGTCTGCTCTCAATAGAAAAATTAGAATGATGAAAACTCTTAGATCTCGCTAGCGATGTTGAATTCATGGTAATATCCACTTTTTATTATTCAGAGGCCATTACTTTTGTCCGCATTTTTTATTTTCTTGATTGCATTTTCGTTTCTTTCTCAGTTCCCCTCTTCTTTATACTATCTGTTCTACATCTGTCATGAAAATTTTCTTTTCCATTTCCTTTGATCTTAAAATCATTTAAAAAATATGTTTCAAAATTTTCTATTATTTTTATCTTCACTCTAGTCGTTGATTTCTCAATTGGAAACCAAATCTGAAGGTATTTTATGGATTTTTGGTGCTCAAAACGTTTGATTACAATCCATCCGATCATCAATGGATGCCCAACCACTGTTTTAAAATTTATTTCAAATATCTGCTTTGAAGTACGATACCGAAAATAGTGCATCTAGGAATCATAATAACATCTTCATGGTGTCTGTCGATGCTCGGGTGGAGAGAAAGGAATGAGATCAATGGATAAGATTATGCAAGTGTTTCAGTTTGCTTTTCTTCTAATTTGATGTTCATGTGTATATTTATGTGTATCTAATTATATTTTCCGAGTGTTTATTGGATTTTGCTTCATTCCCTTGCCTGATAATTATCCTGGATATATAGCATACCGCTATATCAAATTTCATTTTTTTTTTTCTTTTATCTTTGACATTTCCATGAGTTAGAGGAATCTTTGATACCTGCCCTGTAGTTTTACGAGGTAAAATAACAAAAATGGAACTCATATTGCTTGCAGAGTATTAATGCCAGGAAGTGTGGGTGGTCGTAAAACTTTGTGAAATCTCTGGATTCATGACTGGATATGGCTGAGGGGAATTTATGGCACAATGCGATGATTCTGTTAATTTTCCAATTTTCAGGTTGGGATTAGCCAACTACGGTCACTACCAATTTATTGAGGAATGAATGGAAATGTTAATAGAGGGTAGAAGGAAAGGAACAGGTGGAAAGAGATTGTGCATAGAAAAAGAGAGGGGATTGGAGGGTGGATACAAGAGAAGGAAAGTTAAAACAGAGGGGGGGTAAGCAGCGGATAGATATGCTGTTCACTACCAAAATACTGTGATGTCTGGTGATGTACTCTGTTCTCTTCTTTCTTTAGAAGTTCATGTCCCAAGCGAGCTATGAGGAAGTGGTCACCATGGATGACAAACGCCATACAAAATAAAAAAATAAACCCTTGTGTTTAACATTAACTAGATCCCAATCTCTACTCCATTTTGCTAGCATCTATGTGATAAAAAGGAAAATGAGAAAATATGCCAAAAATAACTGCAAGGAAAGGGAATCCATAAAAGAGGCAACAAACATATGAACCTGAAAATATGAAGGATAGAAAATGCTCAGTAGCCTAAAAGACAACTTCGCATTCTCTTTTAATTTTTGAACATCAGGGCCATCTGTCTTTCTGACAGATGTCTTGGCCTGGTTACAACGATTCTTTGCCAAGGCATCTGTTACTCTGTTTCCTTTCTTCCAGGGAAGATCAAATGGCAGGGATGTTTGTCCACAGGCTCCGAGTCATTTGTAGATACCACCTCATTGTGCGAAAGCAGTTAGCATACAATGTCATACCTTCTAGTTTTTCACTTTTTTTTATTCCGTAGGCTACACACTTTAGCTCAAAGATAAATTTATGGAGCATTGTTTCAACTCGATTGCGAGCATCAGGACTCTTGTACATTTTCAAATGAAGAGATAGTGATTTCTGTTGTCATTTGCTTTTAGAATTATTCAATATATATCGCTAAGGTTTGGCAAATTGAATATTGTTGTGTCTGACAAAAGGCTGCTTTAAACTCGTCAATTCTAGTCTTGGCTATTGGGTTCATTTTCATGTTCGTACGATGCTAGTATGTGCTTGATGCTAGCATGCTATTAGGTGATGTTTGATAGGGAATATTTTTTAAAATATGATAGATGATGTTCTGTGGTGAAGAATTTTCTGCTTGCCGTTTTAGTGTTCAACTGATTCTTTATTACATTGAATAATGCCAGGTCTATGGTGCGGACAGAAATTGTAAATATTTATGCGTGCAGTACTTAGAATGTTAAAGAAAATCAATTCATGCTAAGTAAAATTAGCTCTGCTTCTATGAGGCGGGTTGACAAAGTTCCACATTGCATTTATCATATATTGGTGTGCGTTGGTGTTGATTAGCATTATAATCTTAGGTAAACTTGTCGTGATATGATTCATCTATTATGTACTATTTTTCCGTTTTAGTTGTTCTTTGTGTGAAGATTTAGTTATGTCTCTTTCAGTCGACTCAAGGTTGTGCTTCGTTACAGAGAGGATTGTTCTTTGGTCCCTCTGTTTGCCCCCATTGTTTGTGCTTGAATTTGGTGTTTTATTAGCGGAGAATTTTTTTTTTCTCCCCTTTCATCTGCATAATGACTTCAATTCCTTTTACAGCCTGTGAAGCCAGACCCAACTCAAGTTAAGCGCAGCAAGGTGGAGATATTTAAAGAACACAGTAACTTTCTTAGGTACCCCCTCAAGGAGGAGTTGGAAACAGAGGCTGCTAATATAAATGAGGCCGCCACACAACTGATCAAGTTTCATGGAAGCTATCAGCAGACTAATAGGGATGAGCGTAGCGTAAAATCATATCAATTTATGCTCCGCACAAAGAACCCAAGCGGGAAAGTCCCAAACAGGCTTTACTTGGTAATGGATGATCTGGCAGATGAGTTTGGAATTGGCACCCTCCGCCTGACTACCAGACAAACGTTTCAGCTGCATGGCATTATGAAGTCCAATCTGAAGACTGTGCTGGGCACAATCATCAGAAACATGGGCTCCACTCTTGGGGCGTGTGGCGATCTGAACAGAAATGTTCTTGCTCCTGCGGCACCGCTCATGAGGAAAGATTATTTGTTTGCCCAAGAGACTGCGGACAATATCGCTATGCTTCTCTCTCCCCAGTCAGGGTCTTACTATGATATTTGGGTTGATGGGGAGAAGATCATGTCAGCAGAGCCTCCGGAGGTGGTAAAAGCTCGTAATGACAACTCAAATGGGACTAACTTCCCCGATTCGCCAGAGCCCATATATGGCACTCAGTTCTTGCCAAGAAAATTCAAGATTGCTGTGACTGTTCCTACGGACAATTCTGTGGACATTCTGACCAATGATGTGGGTGTGGTCGTGGTTTCTGATGCTGACGGGGAACCTCAAGGCTTCAACATCTACGTAAGATGGTCTTGATATGTTACAAGTCAATAGATGGTAATGAAAAATTGCTGCTTGAATAATAAATCTGTGAAATTTCAGGTTGGAGGGGGGATGGGAAGAACCCACAAGATGGAGGCTACTTTCCCTCGGCTTGGGGACCAACTTGGCTATGTGCCAAAGGAGGATATCTTATACGCCATTAAAGCTATTGTCGTCACACAGCGGGAACATGGAAGAAGAGATGACAGGAGATATAGCAGAATGAAGTATCTGATCAGTGACTGGGGGATTGACAAGTTTAGAGGTACCGTTGAGAGGTACTATGGAAAGAAGTTTGAGCCGTTCAGAGAGCTACCAGAATGGGAATTCAAGAGTTATCTCGGATGGCATGAACAGGTTTGGCGTATTATGTATGATTTCAGTTTTATTGATTAAGAACTTTGTTACCCGTATTATTATTATTATTGTTGTTGTTATTTGGGAGCTACTGCTGATCTTCCTTTGAATTTTACTTTTATTGAAGGTCTGTGGCCATACTATTTTAGCTTTTATTTATGTAATAATCTTGATACTTTTATTATTTACAGCCAGTATTATCCTTTCTTCTGTGGCAGGGTGATGGTGCAATGTTTTGCGGGCTTCATGTTGATAATGGTCGTATTGGGAGCAGAATGAAGAAAACCCTGAGAGAGATAATTGAGAAATATAATCTAAGTGTGAGGATCACTCCCAACCAGAACCTGATCCTCTGCGATATCCGCCCAACATGGAGAAGACCGATCACCACTGCTCTTGCTCAGGCTGGACTACTGGTAAATATTTACTAATATATACTAATATTAGTAAATATTAGTTATAGATCAATCACGCTATGAATCAGTCAGATTAGTCTGTGAAAATACCCCTGCCTTCGTTGTATGTGCAGCATCCCCGTTACGTGGATCCTCTCAACATTACTGCAATGGCCTGCCCTGCTTTGCCACTTTGCCCGCTGGCGATAGCAGAAGCCGAGCGGGGAATACCAGACATTCTCAAGCGAGTTAGAGCGGTCTTTGATAAGGTGAACTGCCATTTTTGAAACATAGGGCTGCTACGATTTGAGGAGATTCTTCTGGTGTTCTGAGGCACTGAGATTTGGTGATCTTATTTTCAGGTGGGTCTCAAGTACAGTGAATCCGTGGTTATAAGGGTGACTGGATGCCCCAATGGCTGTGCCCGGCCTTACATGGCCGAGCTTGGATTGGTCGGTGATGGGCCGAATAGCTACCAGGTCAACCGCCTCGTTTCCTTCATCATTTCAGAGCTTCAAGTCTTGGGTTGCCTGGTAAATTTAGTTACTTTGACTCTCTGTAGATATGGCTGGGGGGGACTCCGAACCAGATGAGGCTGGCGGAGACCTTCATGAACAAGGTCAAACTCCACGATCTGGAGACAGTACTTGAGCCACTGTTCTACAACTGGAAGATCAAACGCCTCCGCAGAGAGTCATTCGGTGACTTCTCGATGCGCATCGTAAGTATATATCCCACTACTTGATCACAAGAACCCAAGGATCTAAGAAAGAAGAACAGATCTCTGAGCAGGATTCTGTGTCCCACCAGGGCTTTGAGAAGCTGCGGGATCTGGTGGAGAAGTGGGAAGGCCCTGCCGAAGCCCGGCCTCGGTTCGGTCTCAAGCTCTTCTCCGACAAGGAGACCTATGAAGCCATGAGCGAGATCGCTCAGACGCAGAACAAGACCGCCCACCAGCTGGCAATGGAGGTCATCCGCAGCTACGTCGCCTCGAACAAATTGGCACCGGAGAGCGAGTAGGGGTGGTCGCGCCGCCGCCGCCGCTGCTGCCGCCACCTCCACAGGTCACCTGCGCTGTTAACTGCTGTTGACAGCCAGGAATATGATGTGGAAGCTGAGTTTCTCCTATTTTTCCGGCGAACCCTCCCCTCGATCAGAACTGCTTTTTTCTTTTTTCCTGTGAATTATCAGACCCCAGATCCAGATCTGAATACAGAAACCACAGAGAACGGACTCGTCATTATCAGCATGTAAGATTCTTGACCAACTTCTGGTTTCTGACCGGCGCTGCCATGAAATCTCCTGCAGGTTCCTCCGGGTGCTCATCATCAACTCAGGATGAATGCTAGCCATGTGAACCAGGCGTGGATATATGTGGCCCAGGCTGCTTTCTGTTAAATAGGCATTTTTTTTGTCGAATTTATTGCCAATAACTATTATAGTAATTAAACGATTCGATGGTTTGTTTGTTTGTTTGTTTGTTTTTTTGTTTTTTTGTTTTGGAAACGTGGATGACTGCATTTTAAACCTATATTATTTTTGGATAATTCATCGATATTACTGGGGCTGATAGAAGCCCACCACTCATCAATACTATCGAACCAATAATAATAATAATAATAATAATAATAATAAATCATTAAAAAGGATCTAAGCGTTGTGAAGAGGTGATGGATTGTGGGAAGTCAGATGGGATTTGACCGGGGTGACCATGGCCAATCTAGAGACATCCTCGTCTTTTGTGGTTTAGAGTCAACTGATGTGGATGAGGTTTGTTGTGATAAATGTGAATGGTAGCTGATGTAGAGGGGAAAAAAATCTGAGATGGGTAAGTGGGTTTTCTAATAAAAACCTAATCTCTCACGAGGATCTTGTATGTTAGGGCTATTGAAGTCAACTGAGGTAGATAGATGTACCTCTAGATTGTGAGCTGTGTGTACATTATTTGAGATTACCTTATGAAAACGGCGTTAATGACTCTCTGGGCAGAGGTCAACGGCATGGGGGGATTGGCGGTTGTGATAAATAGGGATGGTAGCTAATGAAGGGGCGAGAATTCTGAGTTGGGTAAGTGGGTCTTCCTATAAAAGACTAATCTTTGACGGGGATCTTGTCCTGTTTGGACTATTAAAGTCAACTTAGGTGGATGGATGTACCGCTCGATTGTGATCTGTTTGTACATTATTTGAGATTACCTCATGAAGATGCTGTTAAAGATTCTCTGGGAGAGGTCAACGCCATGGGGGGATTCGTTAGTCGTCAATGTAGGTCAGGAGTTCACCGTCATGAGGATGGCACACTACACTGGTTGGCAAGGGGATTGGGACCCGCAGTTGTGGGGAGGGGATCCATGGCGTGCTTGAGAGGGATCTTCTCTGCGAGCAGGCGGGAAGAATGGCCTGGTTGATTTCGGAGAGGACAGCGGATAAAGGTCTCGACGCGGACTTTTAATGTCTTCTGAAGCAGACAGAGAGAGAGAGAGAGAGACAGATAGGAAGACCCCGAGAGAGAGAAAGAGAGCATCCCCGGAGAGCGCCTCTTCGACATCTCCGTTGATACCGTCTCTCTCTCTCTCTTTATCTATCTCTCTCGTCGCGCCTTATTCTGCTTGGCTTTATTTCCTCTGCCAGACGAGGTCAGATCCAGCGGTGGTGTCTGAGCTCTTCCTTCCGCAAGGGCGTATTTAGCCATCTCTTCGGCGGGTCTCTGGTTTCCCTCGGCAGCGGCCCGGGTTTTCCCCCTTTCCTAGCTCTTCGAAGGGGAATTTGAGTCTTGCCCAGCTTTTTTCTGGTCGATTTCCTTCTGGGTTTTCGGTGGCGGGAGGGCATCTGAGAGAGATCAGATCCTGACTTTGGCCTCCATGGGGAACTGCTGTTGGGCCCCCGCCAGCCGTTCTGAGGAGGGGGGACCGAAGCAGAAGAAGGAGACGAAGCCCAACCCCTATGCTCTGGACTATAACAGGGGCCCTTCCTATGGCAGCAAGCTCGCCGTGCTGGTGGAGCCCACGGCGAAGGACATCACCAGCCATTACGTGCTCGGGGCGGAGCTCGGCCGAGGGGAGTTCGGAATTACCTACCTTTGCACTGACAAGTCCACCGGGGAGGTCTTCGCCTGCAAGTCGATCTCGAAGAAGAAGCTTCGGACCGCCGTTGATATTGAGGATGTGAGGAGGGAGGTGGAGATCATGAGGCATCTGCCGGGCCACCCCAATATAGTGAAGCTCAAGGATACCTACGAAGATGAAGGGGATGTCCACCTGGTTATGGAGCTCTGCGAGGGAGGGGAGCTCTTCGATCGCATCGTTGCGAGGGGGCACTACACGGAGAGGGCCGCCGCCGCCATTACGAAGACCATCATTGAGGTTGTGCAGGTATGTTCCCCTTTTCTCAACCCCCCACAACTTCATCTTTCCTTTACCCGTTTTACGACCTTCTTTGAGCTTGAGAGTCTGTTCTGTGCATGCTGGTCAAACTTGGCTATAATTTCCTCCTCTCTCCCTCTACATCGCTCAGTATCTTTCTCTCTCTCTCCCTCTCTCGCTGCTGATGGGAAGAAATGGGCTATCTTTTTTGGAAATTGGATTGTTTGTTCATGTGCATCTATTTATTCTTTTAATGCCTATTTGCTCAATAAGCTCAAAGTCCTCCCACCTTCATCTAATTGCATGCTAATTTTTTGCTTCCATTTGCATGATTTCTAGGGCCATCTTCTACTATTGTGCGCTAATTATTTTTTATTGCTAGACTTATTTTCTGTTTACTTTATATTATAATTAAGTACAAGGTTCTTGCCTTTAGTTGGTTAAGTCTACATCCTTTTTGCGCAAATGTAGAGGCATTTTAATGGTCTACTATCTACCCATTTTAATATTTTTCCTTGATTCGGAAATCGTTATGCTTTGACTGAGATGCGTGGTGGCATATCGTCACAAGTTAGATTCTTTTTTGTCACCATTTGTGGCAAACCAGATTTGATCAAATGAGGTTGATGATGGCGGTGAGTGACCACCCACTTCTTCTACGCTCTTACAGAACTGCCACAAGCATGGAGTGATTCATCGGGACCTCAAGCCAGAAAATTTTCTGTTTGCAAACAAGAAGGAGAACTCTCCACTCAAAGCCATAGATTTTGGGCTGTCTGTCTTCTTCAGACCAGGTTTGAATCCAGGGACCCCACCCTCCCTCTCCACACCAATCTATCGAGTTGTTTTTGCCATAACTGGTAACCCAGAAGCTGGGTACCAGTTTATATTGACCAATTCCGTGTTCCTGTGAATATCCGGTTTTTTTCATATTTTATTTGTTATAACCTCGTTTTCTGCAACAAACAGGAGAGAGGTTTTCTGAAATTGTGGGGAGCCCCTACTACATGGCCCCGGAGGTTCTGAAACGAAACTACGGGCCTGAAGTAGATGTCTGGAGTGCGGGAGTGATCCTTTACATTTTGCTCTGTGGAGTTCCGCCATTTTGGGCCGGTCAGTTTCTAAATTGGAGATTATAAAATGGGGGATCCTCCCTGGCTAATATCCATTTTCGTTTGACAAATTTATTTGCTAATTGATAAATTTTATTTTGAATTTTTTTACTGCAGAAACGGAGCAAGGTATCGCCCAAGCAATCATCCGCTGTGCTATAGACTTCAATAGGGATCCTTGGCCCCTGGTTTCTGATAATGCAAAGGACCTTGTTCGACGGATGCTTGAACCAGATCCTACAAAGCGACTGACAGCTCAAGGAGTGCTCGGTGATGTGCATTTTCTTCTTGCATCTTTTTTAGATATCTAGAGGTTTGACGTAGTGGGTCAACTGGATGACTTGGAAGAATGCTCTAATAAATAGTCGTTTAATTTAGCAGTTAAAAGTAGAAGTAAAGGGACATTTATGCATGTGCTTCTTGTCTCTCATAAACCTTTGGTGGCTCCTTTGGATCCGACGGGGCGCAGATTCGTGGGCAAATCTTGTGATATTAATGCTAATGGTGCTCATTCAGTCCATTCTATCTGGTTCTAGGCGCAAAAGTTCAGTTCAAATTCTTAAACGGGAATTTTGCCCTTTAAAATTCCACTCGATTAGTTTTATCTGTAGCCTTGTCGGTGTTCTTGAGCTTGAACACAGAACCTCATTTGTCGGTTGGCCATTGCTGCGGAATTTTTGTCTTTTTCCTTTTTTTTTTTTCTCATCAGCACGTTGCTCTTTCAGTTTTTCCATCTGATTCATTGTAGAACGTATCAGTACAAATTTTGATTCTCTGCTCATTCTGTAGACAACATCTACCATTTTTCCTTTCTTGACCAAATCATATAATTCTGAGTATTATTCAGGTATTTATTGATTCTGTGATCGCAGATCATACGTGGCTGCAGAATGCCAAAAAGGCTCCCAATGTTTCTCTTGGAGAAACTGTTCGCGCAAGGCTAAAACAGTTCTCAGTGATGAACAAGCTCAAGAAGAAGGCTCTTAGGGTAAGGGTTGGGTTTTTGAGTTAAGAATAATCCCTTCTAGGTTACTATCGAAATAACTCTGTAACTATAAAGACGACCAACATCTAAAGGTGTCAAAACCAATGGTTGCCATCGGACAACATCTTTGGCTGTCCACGTAGAAAAACCCAAAATTTGGCTTGCTTGTGTGGGGCCATGTTTAGAACAGTCCTGTACTGGGTATTATAAGGAAATAAGGCTCTCAAGGTAAGGCTTGGGAGTTGATTCGCTATAAAGCTTGCTCTTTTTTATACTATTTTTTGTGTTTTCAAGCATTCTACGGTGCCAATATGTGATTCGAGTATTATTATTGGCTGTTATATTGGGAGCCAATTGAGAAAATAACTTACGTTTTGCAGGTAGTTGCTGAACAGCTGTCTGTTGAAGAAGTTGCAGGGATAAAGGAAATGTTCCAAATGATGGATGTGAGCAACAATGGGAAAATAACATTGGAGGAATTGAAGATAGGCCTCCATAAGCTCGGACAGCATATTCCTGACCCTGATGTTCAGATATTAATGGAAGCTGTAAGAACTTTTTTTTTTTTTTTTTTTTCTAGACCAGCCCTTTGCATGCTCATTGTGTGCACTGATAAAAAGCATTGGAATCAGTCTATTTAGTTCTTTTGTTGCTTCAAAAACGGCAAAAAGTGTGTTTGAAATCTGAATTCTCATTCTCCTGAAAATACATCCGCTGATGTCTGTCTAAAACCCTTTTTGCCTGGTACCATTTCCATAAGTCAGCACAGCATGGTTTTGGTGTCCACAGATGAAAAAAACTCTAAATTTCTCATACATAAAGGAATTAAGGTGACCCTGATCGTGCCTTGTTATTTTTATTTTCTTAACTACTAGATTTTGCATAACTATGAGTAGACAGCTGTTAAGCTTTTTCCTGTCATTATTGTGGGCTCACACAATTACAAGCACAGGTTTTGAAATATTATAAATTTCATATAACTAAGATAATTAAAATGAACCATATAACCATTAGATTGTCTAAGTAGGGGTAAAAACACGTAGCATCACGTCAGTGATTATCATGGAGTCATAGAATTGTAAGAAAGATTATGAAATCCCTACCGTCAGCGAAACTTTCTTAAATTTGTTGATTTATTGGGGACGTATACATTTTCCTGGTGATATTGTTTGATTAGATGGCATTGGATCTTCTGACTTTGGCAATGGTAGGCTGACGTTGATGGGAATGGGACTCTGGACTATGGAGAATTCGTTGCTGTTTCGATTCATCTGAAGAAGATTGGAAATGATGAACACCTGCGTGAAGCTTTTGGATACTTTGATCAGAACAAGAGTGGGTACATAGAAATTGAAGAGCTCAGGGATTCCCTGGCCGATGACTTGGGGCCAAATAGTGAGGAAGTCATCAATGCCATTATCCACGATGTAGATACCGACAAGGTCAGCTTCTGTTCTAATTTCCATTATTACTTCCTTTATTATTTCATTTTCCCTCCTATTGAATCAACACTATGAAAGAACAGATTTATTCATTTACATTTATTTGTGTCTCGGGTAGTAATATTGAAACTTAACTTACAGGATGGGCGAATAAGCTACGAGGAATTTGCGGCGATGATGAAGGCAGGCACGGACTGGAGGAAGGCATCGAGGCAGTACTCAAGGGAGCGGTTCAATAGCCTGAGCCTGAAGCTGATGCTGGATGGATCCCTGCAAGTAGAGGCTGAAAGCAGATGACGGTATAACAGGGAATCAGCTGACTCGGAGATTCAAGATTCTTCCTTTTTCTTCTGGGTTTTCCTATGTTTTTATGACATTTTCTCTCTCCTCTGGGGAATCTGCCTCGGTTGGAAAGTTCCATGGCGAATGTGGTGCCAAGGGAAGGGATGGAGGCTGTTAACAGGAATTTGTTGGTGTAAATATGTATTTTCCCTCTATTTTAACATAGTTTTTCTCCCGCTATGAATTGTTGTCAATGTTGTAAAACATTTGAAGGCCAAAAGGACTCCGCTGTCATTTTTAGTTACTTTTAACCAGTTCTTATTGTTCGAGAGAAGATTGAGAAAATTCTTCGAAGAGATGCATGCTGAATTCGGAATGAAGCATAGAGGTGAGCTGAACTTCTGAGAATATCAACGAAAGCAAGTACAAAATTGGTATTTTATTTTTTACAAACTGAACATCTAAAAGAATAATTGCCTAGGTTTGATCTCAATTATTCGAAGCTAATGCATACTCTGATGCCTTGTAATTGTTAACTTTCTTCAGATGACAGACGTAAAGATCTTGATATTATGCGTTCACAGAAGAATGGTAAGATCTTTATCGTCGCTCGTACAGTATCTGTCGCTGCTTTTCTTTTTCAATTCGTGCATCCATTTCTCAGAGGCGGTCCGGTCCGTATATGGCCCGAACCATGTGGCGGGTCGAAGGGATTGAAGCCACAGATCGTCCTCGTGCTACGGATGGATGGAGACTTTTGGACTAGAGCCATGCACGCTTGGATTGCGCATGCTTGACGTATGGTGTCGGCGTTTTCGAGTTGTTGGACCTCGCTGGATGTGTTTTATGACGTCTTGGCTGTCTCACCGTTTACAAGTGGCGTTAGAGGTCGCTGGCCAGCGTCGTCCCACTGGGATCAGATCAGACGGGATGATGGGTATCGTGGTCAAAGCCGAACAGGCATTCAATGCAGCGGAATTGGTAAAGATCTATACCTTAATGATGAATAAGTGTACCTGTCTCCACAACCGCCACGGACTGTGCTGCCACCGTATTGGCATTGATAACATGGACCTCAGATTTTCTGCTGTGATAGGAAGGATCATGCAGTCATGGTAAATTCCTATTAACAGATAGGAAGGTGCATGTGAGTAATTGATTCCGTGAATAAAGAAAATGGTAATAAAAGAGGGAGAGATAAATTGAGAGAGAGGGAGAGAGAGAGAGAGAGATTGTCAGATATACATACATGTATATATACATTTAAATGCAGATCAAGAGAGAGGGAGAGAGAGAGAGAGAGACATGGTGCTCTCATTGTGTCAAGTACCCATTGTTCCCATCAGAAGGGACTCCAAATTCATAGGGCACAAAGATTGCCTTGCTGTTAAACCTCCTTGATCCCAGATCAAAACAGCCTTTCACCTCCGCCAACTTTGAGCTTTACACATTGCTTATGATTTTCAGTTGGACATGAAAATTGACCTTTATAACTTCAATTTTTGCGAGAGTCCCAAATTTCTGCTTCATATGTCCATAATGAAGAGTTCGAATGATGGAAATGGAGACAAACCATACTATCTAATAGCACCTCAAATTGAGGTCAAAGGAATATATGGTGATGCAACTTTAATACTATCCTGAAATGGAATCTTAACTTGAAACTGACCAAAGAGTGATCTCTAAGATGGGTGACCAAAGAGTGATCTCTAGTCCACAAGGTGAAAAGGGTTCCTTTGAATCCACAAGGGGGTCGCCATAATCCAGCATCAATGAGATAGAATCTAGAGAAGAAAAAAAAATCATAATATTCAATAATACCTTTAAGACTACAACATGAGGCCTTTGAATATATAATTTTTTTTGGTGCCCCTAAAAAGGTGGTTTTATTAGGATTATAGTTTAAATTGAACTTAAGTCATGTTTCAACAAATTCAAAATGACTAAAAGCGTAGAAAAAATTCAAGTGAGAGAATCAATTTGTAATACATTTAAGACCTACTTTATTATGAACCAAATGAGGTACTAGGTCATCTTGTTTCAATAGTTTAGTTTGCACATTTCTTAGACTTTTAGTACATTGAATTTGGGTTGTGGATGGGTTACATCAACCTTTAATACTTCAAAATAACTTTTCCTCATGTCTTCATGTGACTCAGGATAATAATCATAAATATCTATAACATTGAAAGGAGAAGTCATATCAAATTTCTCTATTAAGTCAATGATGTAGTCATTACTATTGATTTTCTATAGGATTTTGAATGATTCATATTTCTTTAATTTTAGCTTTTAATAATCACTATGTAAGAATTTTTTTATGAAATACATCACAACTAAAGAACAAACTTTAAAAATTTTATTTTGTTGACAAGAAGAAGAAAAAACTATAGAATAGATGATTGAAGAAGAGAAGAAAGAGAAAGAAAGAAAAGTGGAGATTGTGGAGGAAGAATAGGAACGAGGAGAATAAGTCCAAATTGAGCCTAGTGGGCGAAGTGAGCTTATTCTAATGTTCCTCCTCAAGCTAGAACATACAAGTCAAATATGTCTAGCTTGGTACATGTCACGT